TAGTAGTAGTAAAGTAAAGAGTAAGAAGAGGTAGAAGAGCGCGCAGAAGAGTATAAGGTAGTTAAAGCGTAGAAAGAGTAGAAAGTAGTAATAGAGATATTATAAAAGAATTTACTTAATGTATTTACTACCTAAAGAGCTATTAAGCTTATAGTAATAGACTTACTTTTCTTACAAGAACTACTACGCGATACTAGATTATAATACTAGAATTTTAAAGCTAGCTAGTATATAATAATACGCTTAGAATGTATTAGTAATATAAGAAGAATATTATAATACTGTAATATAGAATATAATGTATTTAGAGTAGTTAGAAATTTAACTAAAAGCTACTTAGCTAAAGCTATAGTAAAACTCTAACTAGATATCTTAAGTAAGCGCTTAGATTAGTATCTGCTAATAAGAAAAGGCTTTTAGACAGGCTAGAGAACAGCTTTAAGAATCTTAGAAATAGATCTTAACTTTATAGAAGAATTATTTTAATTTAGAAAGATATTAGAAGATTTTCTATATAGTTATAAAGGCTGCTAAGGCTATTACTATTAGTACTTCTTAATTATAGCTTAGAATCTAGTATTATTGTAATAGCTACTAGAAACCTAAGAATATTATAATAAAAAGATTATGTCTAAACAATATTTAGAACTAGAGGCTAAAGAAGAAAAGACTTTCTTTCTTTTAAGTGTAGAAGAGAAGTAATATAGGTTTAGCTATTATAATATTATAAGCGTAAGAATATAAGGTAATAAAAGAAGACTTAGAAGTATATTATAATTTTATTTACTATAACTATAGAGTAGAATAAATAGACCTAAGAGTTAATTAGAGAGAAAAGAGACTAGAGAACTACTTGCGTATAAAAGAGCTAGCAGAGCTAGAAGTTATAGAATTAGTAGAAGTTAAAGAAGAAATAGGCTTAGTAGTTCTAGTAGAAGTAGTAACAGAAGTAGTAATAGTAGAAGCCTTAGACTTAACAATATTATTACTAATAGTATTAGCCTTATTAGTAATAGTCTTCTTAGGCTTAGGCTGCTTATAAGGTTAACTACAACCTCTACCTAGAACCTAAATAGAAGAAGAAGTAGTATAGAAAGCGCAATAATAAGGTTTTCTAGTTAGTATAATAGGCTTAAGAACACTAGTAGCTAAACTACTATTAGGCCTAATAGAAAGCGTAGCGTCTAGAGTAGGCTAGCTAGTAAATAGATTAGACTTCTTAGGTTAGCTCTAACTTCTAGAGATAGTTAACCTAGACTTATTATTACTCTTACTAAGAATCTTTAAGCGTAGTAATAATAACTAAATATAAGGCGCGCTAGTAGAAGTAGAAGCAGCCTTAGTATTAGAAGCCTTCTTAGACAAATTGTAGCTAAGATTCTTTAGGCTTAGTTAGAAAGCTAAGTTATAACTAGTATTAATATTACTTAAATAGTATCTATACTAAGTAGCTATACTATTACTAGCCTAGGTAAATAAGGCCTTATTACTCTCTTTAGATGCAGTAGTTAGCTTCTTACTAGCCTTAAGATAAGTAAGAACGCTCTTAGAGAGACTAGCAATTATATTAGAGAAAACTATAGACTTAGCGGCTATAGTAGACTTAAGGCTACGCCTTACTACTTAAGTTTCTAGAAGAACATATTAGTAAAGATACTAGAAATAAGAAAGTAAGTATCTAAAGAATAGTTAGCAACTTACTATAAAAAGAGCAGACCTAATAATTACTATACTTTAAATAATTAGTGTAAACTCTACTCTTTATTAGCTAGCTATTAATATAGACCTAGATACACTAGCTAAATATCTTTCTATAATTTAATAACGCACACTAACTATAGATAATAATCTTAATAGAAGAATTCTTAACTAAAGAGTTAATTGCACTAACTAACTTAGCGCTAAAATAATAAGATAGTATAAGCGCTTTTATATTAGAGTTAAATAGCTAGCGCGTAGACTTATTATCTAACTAAAAGAATTTACTAATAGTTATCTCTAGATTAGCTAAGTAGAAGTTGCTATAAGCGTTAACCTATATATTAGACTAATAGCTTTTCTAATTAGTAGCTAGAATAGATAGAGAAGGCCTAAGTATATATTCTACGCTTTATAAGGTATATAAGTAATTCTACATATCTATAGTAAAGCTAAGAGTAATAATATAGGCTCTCTAGTTAGTTACTAATAAGATAGAAGATATTAGAATAATGTTTAGTTAAAAGGCTCTAGAGAAGAGAAAAGACTTACGCTAGGTAATGTACTAGTTATAACTAGAGTTAGAAGTTTTATACTTATATAACTTTACTATACGTATACTACGTCTACTTTTTTTAATAGCCTTAGTTAGAGTAAAGATAGAAAGGCGCAGAGACTTACTTTAGTTCTTCTACTTCTTAAGAAGGTAAGACGTAGGCGTCTAAGAGGCTTTTATTAGAGACTTAAGAGCTAACTTAGACTAAAGATAGCTAGTAGAGTTAATGTTGTAGATAGAAGAAAGTAGTAGAGTAGTATTAAGCACGTTAGTTATAATAGTATTAGTTTAGCTAATACTAGCGCTAGTCTTAGCTTTAATTAAGAGCGTAGTCTTAAGCAGAGTAGATAGAATAGGTTTAGCTAATAGCTGTTTAGGCGCACGCAAAGGTTAGAATAATAGCGTAGTATTATTACTAGCACTCTTAGTTATAGACTAAGTAGTAATAGTAGTAGAATTATCTATAGCCTTAGGCTTAATAGTTATTTTATTAGTAGAAGTTAGCTTAGAAAGCGTAAGCGCGTGCGTAGTAATAGTAGTAGCTTACTTAGCTATAGTAGGCTTAAGAGTAGGTATAGTAGTAGAGGCAGCAGAGCTGTTATTAGCCTTAAATATAATAGCTAGCTTAGCAGCAAGCTCTTAAGTGTAGAAAGTAGATATAGTAACTAGTATAGTGCCTGTAGTAGCTAACTTGCCTTTAGAGCGCTTAGGTAAAGCTATAGTAGAAAAAGAAAGTTAAGGTAGAGTAAAGTAAAAGAAAAGAAGAAAATAGAGAAAGAATAGTAAAAGGCTACGCGCGTAAAGGTAGAGTTAAGAGTAGTAATTACTATGCGTAAGAAGAAAAGTTATAATATTATTATTTTAATAGCCTAGTTGCTAAGCGCTAAAGAGCTCTTAAGTAAAAAAAGTAGAGTAACTAGCGTATAGGTTCTAATAGTAGTATAGCATATGTAAACCTTCTAGAATATCTTTATAAATGCACTAGCAATATAATAAAGATAATAGAATATTTATTAGAGAAAAGGCTAATATTATAGAAAGTTAAGTGCTAAATAGATAAGTACTATAGAAAAGCAAAGATTAAACCTAAGAAAGACATAGATCTAAGTCTAAAGAATTATTAGCTACTAATATTAGAAGTAATTAAGATAAGGTTTAGAATACACTAGAGAAATAGAGAAAGAGACTATAAGTAGGTAGAAGAGATTAAATTAAAATAAGAAGAGTAATAGAGAAAGATATACTAGGCTAGAAATAGCCTAAAGAAATTTTGCATTTAGATTTCTAGGTAGAAGTTTAGCGCATAGTATATTTAGATTAAGTAGATAGAATCTAGTAATATACTAGGTAGAAGAAGATGTCTAAGAGCTATTCTCTCTTTTATACTTAAGAAGAAAAGAAGGCCTTCTTCTTAAGTATAGAAGAGATATAGTAGTAAAACTAGTAATATAATAATAGGCTAAACAGCTATTAAGCTTAAGAGTTAGTGCGCTAGAAAAAGCTAGATCTAAACAGCGTTTAGACAAGAATAACAACAAGATATATATAATATAATTAACTGCATTAAGCACCTGTTCTAATAGAGATACTTCTAATCTCTCTACTACAATACGTAAAACTATTATTATTACCTAATTACTATAAAAAGAGCTACCTTACTAAGTAATTCTTAAGTACTAAGCTATAAGGCTTAGTCTAAGCTTCTCTATACTACTAAGAATATATTATATTTACTCTTATTTTATAACTTTTTTAATACTAGTAGACAGCTATACTAGACTTAGACACCTTTTTAATAATACCTACTAGCTTATATATTTATCTTAATAAAATATCGCAACACCAGCTTGAGCACAACCTAGTCTAGTTAGCACATCCCGCGACTTGTACATCTTTTGAAGACTTCAATTGCCGTCAAGATGTCAGGAAGACGACAGATATCTCATTGCCAAATACACTATGCTCAGCAATACCCCAGCCTTAAACGTAGGGATATCGACGGAACCCCGACATTCCAAGCGCCAGGCCACACAATGCGACACATGTTCAGTCTGATCCCCCTCCGCCGCATTCATGCCAACCATTACCCATCTTGGCATACCCCCAAAACCCCATTGGCCGACACCGCCATCTTCTAACGGACCGGAAACCTGAGATGTGTTACGGCATTTCGAGGCAAGAACATTGCGTAGTGGCTGAGCAGTGGGGTGGGGGTGAGGCTGAAGTGCGCTAACAGGTTCGCTTACGACGCTTTCCTCCTTCTCCTTACAACTTTTCCCCACATGCATCACGGAACGGGAGAACGCATAATGTTCGCTGTGTTTTGCGTTTCCAAACCACGTGCGTGGTGATCGTCTGCACCGCGCCATTTGTAGGCTAAAAGTAGATGCGAAACGGGCGGGTTGGTAACATGGCTTTTACGCGAGGCGTGAGGAATGCTATGCTGCCTCGTCGCCATACGGACGTGATTGCCTGTTGGGGCACTGGTGAGGGGGAAGTGACATCTGCGAGTTTCGAGTTGGCGCCCGTACTTGCTTGTGTGAAGGGTAGGGTCAGTTTTTGCGGTGTTGTCGTGGACATATATATGAAGCGTCTCCCAGATACTGACTATCATCATCGATACTGAGGCAATTGGCATCTCTATCTCACAAACCATACCTAATCATACTTCCCGGCGAAGATTCTAATACATCAATCTAATAAAACACCCCATCAATCAAAACATCAACACCAAAATCAACCAAACATGGCGCCCATCTTCAAGCTCCTCGCTCTTCTAAACCGTGGGTTCATCCCTCAAAATCAACCTCCTCTCATACTAACCTCCCCAACAGTCTCCCTATATGCAGCAGCCCAAGGCACCCAATTCATCACGGGCGAATGTGCATCAGACGCCGAGTGCGCCTCCGCGTGCTGCGGCTTCACATCCGGGAAATGCGCCGCACCCTTCGTAGCCAACGAACGAGGTGAAGGCTGCGGCTTCGGCGACGCACAGCCAAACAACAACGCTCTGAACGGCGCAGGTGGAAATGCCAGTGCGGATGCGCAACCAGACGCTGCTGCTCCCGCTGCTGCTCCTGCTGCCCCTCCTGCGGAGAGTAACACTGGAGCTGCGGCGCCGGCGGCAGCAGGCACGCAGTTCATCACTGGGGCGTGCACATCCGATGCTGATTGTGCGTCGGCTTGCTGTGGGTTCAAGAGCGGGACATGTGCCGGCCCAGTTGTCGCGCAGGAAAGAGATGGAGGATGTGGGTTTGGGGACGCGCAACCAAATGATAATGCGGCGAAGGCGTTGCAGGGACGGAGGCTGGGGAGGAGAGGCGCGAAGGACATGTAAGATGCTTGAGAGATGAGGTGTAGTAGTGTGATGACGGAGACGAACATGGTATCGTTTTGGATGTAATCAATCACTGGTCATGTTCAATTCTCGTTCTTTTTTGAACATCGTAATAAAAAATGATTCCATCTACTCTTGTCCCATAGGGCGCTTGAAATAACCGTCTCTTTCTTCGTAGCAAAAGCCAATATGTACAGGACTATACATGTACGTCTGATGAAAACGTTTCCCACGTGTATGGTAAACATAGCGGGACTAGATCCGAATAATCTGCCCGAATACCCCGGGTGATACGCGTGTTAAGGGGAACTAGGAGTGTACGGTGATGTGCGAGGCCAACCGTTGACCTGGTTTTGTATCTCGGTGAGCTGGGGACCGTTTGCCCTCCCTAAAATAGCCTCGCAATCCAGATGCCAGGTTTGATTAGTCTTTCAACGTTTGTTCTTTGAAGCGTGTAAGACCAAAACTCCCGGTCGATCCGTTGACTGGTAGCACCAAGGGATATGCTTGCATGCATCCCTGTGACTGCCGGAGTAAACCCCGCTTAACTTTGTGGAAGTTTCAGCAAATGTCAACATGATGTCGTCGCAACAATAGCAGTGCTCAATCACAGATGCGTGGGTCGAGAAGGGTGTAACGTGTAAAAGCAGCCTCACAACAGAGGCTGGCTCGATTCTCTTCTCATGTTGCATACCCAGCCAGGTGTACGCCACTAACATATCTAACGCCCGTTTATACTCCGGCGCTCCAATGCATATAGAGAATGCAACCCAGTAGGAGAGAGGCCCATGTGTACGCCAAAACACCCCCTCGAGTAATGTAGAAAAGACTCGATGCCGTGCAACACAGAAAAGGTGGCAGAGTGGTTTGCACATTCCCGACAAAAGGGAAAACAATATGACAGATGAAAAGGGATATCGAGAAAGGATGTTTCGAAGCGAAGTATGCCGAAGTCGTGAGTATGGGTCGAAGAGACGTGGTGTGCTTCTGATGGGATATTAGTATTGACATAGGATGAGATGGGAGATGGTAGGAGTGACGTACGGGTGCATTTCTGCAGCGCTGCTACATCTCAAGATGTTGTGTGGCCATTTGGGATCTCCTTGGAGCGGCCGTCGCCAGCCCAGACACCGCCGCCGACAGCCCTTGAGATGCCGACACCGAGGCCAACGGCAGCGGCGACGACGAGAAGAGCGATGACGATCTTAGCCCACAGTCTCTGTTTGCTGGTCATGTTCCGGAAGAAGGCACAGCCACGCTTGCGCTTGTACGACTTCCGCTTGTCCAGCACAGCCTGCCTCGTGGGCCACATGGTGCACTCCTTGACGCGGCCATCGACCGAGTGCTTGGAGGGCTGCTGTGTGGAGGCGACGGAGAGGGGCACGCCGCCCTCGAGGTCGTGTTCGTGGACGGCGACGCCGAGGTGTGTCTTGCTCTGGAGGGCCGTGTCGTTGAGGGAGTGACGCGTCTCGCGGAGGGCCTCCGGGTGCTTGTAAAAGGCCGAGTAGGGGTTGGAGGGGTCGGCCGCCCACTCCTTCTTGGCGAGGTCAGCGTCGGCAGTGGCAGACGACATATTTGAATCGTGCGAGGGCGGCGAGCGTAGCGGCTGCGAAGGCGGAGGCAGGCTGCTTAATGGGCTGGGGGAGCGCTGGACCGTGGCGCCGAAGGTGACGGGCTCGTGCTTCTCGTTTGCTGCCATTGTGACGTAGGCAAGGAGGGTTTCACGCTGGCAGTGCTGGGGCGTTTGGTGTCTAAGACGTGAAGCGTGGGCTCGTCAGGAGGACCCTTTCAGCGGCAGGCGGGCGACAGCAGCTGCAGTGGCCGGGCCGGGCGGTGGTGCGACAATGGGCAGCGGGGGTTCGCTTCACGACAGGCGCAGCATGGGGGAGAGGGCAGCGGTGGGTGAGGGTGAAGGCGTCGTTATCGCTTGCCGTGTGGTATCTGGTATCGTGGGAGATATGGCTGCAACGGGAAGGGGGGATCGCCGTCGACGAGGAAGGAGCGGACAGTGCACCAGGGGAGGGAAGCAGCGGGTCGACCAGCGTGCGTCGGTGCGTTCACTCGGAATACGGCAGGCAGACAGGAAAGCTAAGCAGCGTCGCGGTGGGAGGAGCAGAGATATGAAGAGTTGTGAAGGCACGCCAGGCCCATGCCGCCTGGTGGACACGGTCTGTGTGAAAGCTGAGAGTTCGGAGCTAGGGTCAATCGTCGGGCCCGCTAGGCCGTTCGCAGCCATGTCCCTGCAACTGCCCACCGGCTCGTCGCTCTGAGTCGAGCGTAGCTGTAAGACGTCCCTGATCTTCATCGCGTTCACTCGCCCATTCGCTTCCAGCAGCTCACGTCCATCATCATTGTTACAGCGCCATGCTATGACCTTATTGCTGAGCCTTCGCTTCTATTCCTCACGCCTCCCTTCTTGACCTCCACCTGTATGAGTACACGCTGTACACCCCCCCTTGACGCCGCTGAAGGCCCGCTAGATTGATTGCCGCGTGCCTGGCAGGTCGTCGAGTTACCTCGCAACGGGTTAGCAGCCTCGCAGGTCTAGAGCCGTGCGGCGCGACTGGAGTTTGGCTCATCTTGGCTGTTGACGCGCTAAGCCCCCTCGGGCTAAAGCGCGCATAAAACATAGGCTGCATCCAATCTTTGAGCCGCCAGATGCACGCGGAGCACCTGGCCGAGAGCCTTGGTCGCAGCTTGTCTGTCATGCACCAACGCGCGACTTGCTGTTCTCGGTGCCACCTTCAACAGCGAAGCATTGGAGAAGGCGACCTTTTTTTTCTTGTTTTGTGCCCGCGCTTGAGCAACCCCGGCCTTGCGCGTCGTTGAGCCCGTTCTATTGAAACGCATGGCCTACCGCAGAGGCAAACGTCGCGACTGTGCCTCTCGATCGAGCGCGCAAATCGTCGATATAGCAGCGCTGTTACTCTGTAGGCGTCCCGAATGCCCACTGTTATCCTGATAAACTAGCGGCGTGTGAAACCGCTATAGCACCCACCCGAGCGGCGCAGCAAACACAGAGGCGAAATCTATGCACTCCTCCGGAACACATACGAAAGCAGATACGCCTATACGCCGACGCGACGAACATACGATCTGGAGACGGGAGGCAGGCTGAGATTAGATAACGCACGAATGATGCGTACCGCAAAAAAGGGTTCTGAAGCCCGCGCACGTGCGTTCCGCCCCAGCCAACACCGCGCTAATGCAAACTGCGGGCAAGCATCGCCTGTCCTACACAGCTCCTGTTCCTAGGGACCTATGGAACTATGATGCTGTCAAATGCGCGATGCGCGCCATAGTACCAACGCCCCAGACCGGCCCAGTCGTGTCACATGGTCGCCCACCGTCCGCGCTTGTAATGGCCATCTGGACCCAGCCTGGCGTTTGTATAGACTCGTCGATAGACTCTCCGATAGTTTTGGAGCAAGCCTCCAACACTTTGTGTACAAGGTTATTTGTATTGAGCTGAAAAGCAGCCAGCCCTGTAAATTACTACTTTTTGCTTATCGCACCCGTCTCTAATGCTGCCCGATCAGAAATGCCGCGCCAACGCCATGCCATGCCATGCGCAACCATCACTCTGCGCGTTTGCTTGCTTCCTTAGCAAGAGCAGCCGCATCACTAGCCTACGTTCTGGGCCGTGTACCCGCCCGCGCCCAATCAAAACTCCTGTTCCCAAGCTTCTAGTTTGCGCCAGCGATTTCTTCTCTCTTGATACCGGATCTGTCGCACATGCCCTTGAAGATTCCGCCTTGGTCGTACAGATTTAGCGGCGAGTCGAGCTCTGCAATCAGCCCGGCGTCCATGACGCAAATCCTATCGTAGTTGATAACTGCCGGATGTCAGTACAAAGTCGGCGCGCGGCAGGCAGCGATGCACTTACTGGTCTTTAGTCGATGGGCGATGCACAGAAGCGTCTTGCCCTTGAAACCATCCACGATCTGTTGGTAAATATTAGCTCATGTATTCAACAACACTGCTTGATGACGCAAAGCTTACCGTTTGTTGGATCTTCGCATCTGTCTCAAAGTCGACCGAGCTGGTAGCTTCGTCACAGACGATAATCTGAGATCCACGGACGAGCGCGCGAGCCAAAGCCATCAACTGCCTCTGGCCCAGAGAGAAATTGAGACCCTCTTCCTCGACCACACTGTCGAGATGTATGCGTGCAGAGTGATCTTCCATAGTCTGGTCATTCGAAACAAGATCAGCTTGTCGCAGGGCAGACCAGAGCTCCAGGTCAGAATGTTCGTGGAAAGGATCCAGGTTGGACCGAATCGTTCCCTTGAAGAGCGTGGGGTCCTGCGGGATAATGGCCAGCTTGGAGCGTAGATCGTGAAGACCAATCTTGCCAATGTCTACACCATCAATGACAATCGAGCCACCTGACAGCTCTTGCAGTCGGAACAACGCCGACATGATGGACGATTTACCCGCTCCAGTGCGACCAACGACACCAATGCGCTCACCAGCGCGGACATGCATGCTCAATCCCTTGAGCACCAAAGGTAGCCCATCGCGGTACCGCATCTCCACATTGTCGAAGACGATCTCGCCATGCTCAGGCCAGGTTGGTCGTACCTCGCCCATATGCAGAGGCGCTTCTTCTTCGAGTTGGCTTCCGTAGTGGTGGATGCGCTCCGTGGAGTTCATGTTGTTTTCGACCTCAGCAAGTTGACGAACCGTAAACTGAATCATCTGCACAATAGTGAGAATGTACGAAAGGACCAGACCAGCAATGCTAGGATCGACGGAGAAACGGCTGGTAACGACGAGGATACCCGTTGTGAAGACGAGTAGAATGCCGACAATGTCCAGACGGACACTCAGCCAGCGTTGATTGGCAAAGGTGAGGTAGTAGGCACTGTTCATATCGTCGACAGCATCACGAACAGACTTCGAAAACTGATTTTGGAGACCGTAGGCGCGAATAGTCGGGGTACCCATGACAGCCTCGCCGAAGCGCGAGAACACCGTGCTACGAAGAACAGCTTCGTGACGTTTGACCTCGCGTGCAGAAGACCGGTAGAACGCCGCCGAGAACATGAACATGATGAACAGCGGACCCAACGCGATGGCGTAATAGTAGTAATACGAGATGATGAGGATGAAAACACTGTTTATACACGTTAGCTCAAACGCTTCAACAACACGTCCCGAGTAACTTACGAAATGATCATAGCAAGCGTCAAAAAGTACATGCGCATCGCATCCGTAATGGTGTTATCCATGACATCGATATCCTTGCTAAAACGATTCGTAATGCGTCCCAGCGGCGTAGTATCGAAGAAGGACATGGGCGCGCGCAGCACACGGGTAATAGCGCGGTGCAGCATGACTTTACCAGCTCGGGTACCGAAGATGGAGACCGAGAAGGAGAAGAAGAACATGAAGAGGGCTTGGCTGAAGCCAAAGGCTGCGTATGCACCAATGTATGCGCCCTCGGAGTAGCCGAATTTGTCGGAGGTCCAGTACGATAGCCAGAGAGAGGTGACGATGTTGGCGCCTTGGGAGAGGACGAGGAGGATGAAGACGAGGGGACCGACCCAGATTCCGCCTCCGGCTTTGATGTATTCGATCCAGACTTCCCAGCTGACGCTCTTGGTTGCGCGTTCTTCCGTCTGCATGAGGGCGGCCTGTTTCTTCTGCTTCCGTTGCTTCTTTGTGCTCTTGACTTCTGCTTCGACTTCGTCCTCGTTGACTTCGTCTTGCTCTTCCTTCTCCTCTTCCTTGGCGGTTGAGCTCATGACCTGCACGAAGTCGGCGTTCTGTGCCATGAGGTTGTCAAATGTGTCGACGGCTTTGACTTCTCCTTGGTCCACCCAGATGATCCTGTCGCAGCGGCTGAGGACGTGGAGCTGATGAGTAGCGAGAATGCGGCACTTGTCTTTGAGCAGACCGCAGATAGCGTTGTCCATGATGTGACGACCAACGTGGGCGTCGACAGCGCTCAAAGGGTCGTCCATGAGGATGATATCCGCATTGAAGTAGATGGCTCGAGCAATGTTCATGCGCTGCTTCTGACCACCAGAAACGGTGATACCGCGCTCTCCAATCTCGGTCGCGTCGTTGTGCGGTAACATGTCCAGGTCAGGACGGAGGGCGCAGGCATCCACAACTTGGTCATACCATTTCTTGTTGAACTCTTTGCCGAAGATGATGTTTTCTCGTACCGTAGCGTTCTGGATCCAGGCGTATTGCGGACAGAAAGCACGCGAAGCACCAAAGACAACTTCACCACTAGTCTTGCGCATGTCTCCTGCGAGAGCCGCAAGCAGCGAACTCTTTCCAGACCCAACACCTCCGATGATAGCCACAAGCTCGTTTCGTCCAATGTTGAGGTCCAGTCCCTTGATCTCGAAGGGCTTCTCCTCTTCCACAGCCGTCGCATCGGAAAGTGGCCTCTCTCCACCGTTCGCTGCGAGCTTAGCGTTTGCCTTGCTCTCCCTCTTCTCTTTTCTGGTTTCTGGCTTCTTTCCTGGTGGCCCGCCGGCACCGTCTTCTGGGTCCTGAGTGGGGTGACGCTCCCAGGTGAAGTTTGCGCCCTTCAGTGTGACCGCATCCTTGGCGTCATAATCCCACTTTCCGCTCTCTTCAGCCTCTTCAGCTAGCAAGAATTCTTGGATACGTTTGACGGAAGCATTCGCGTCGATGACCTGACCAATAACGAGCGGCAAGAAGTTGAGCGGGATACGCATGGAGTTGAACAAAGCGAGTGAGGAGAAAATCGGCGCGGGATCGAGATTGCTGTTGACCTGGGAGTAGGTGATGAACGAGATCATAGAAGCGAAGACGGGCATGGACATTCCGACGGAGAGAACGGCGTTTCGAATCGTGAGCAGAATCTGAATACCGTGAATCTCCTTCTTTCTGATCGTCTGGATGCGCTCCAAGAAACTAGTCTCCCATCCGAAGTATTTGACGAAGCGAACACCTTGCAGAATTTCCTGGGTCAAGCTCACACGCTGGTCGGTAATTTTGTTGATGGCAACTCTGCGACGGAACAGCGTCTTGACGGCGCGACCAAGTAGGGGCATAGCGATAAGAATGAGACCAAGACCGGGAAGAGCACTGTATGTCAAGTTGACAAGAAGCAGCGCAGTTGTAATCAGAATACCAACGGGAGCAGTCCAGATCATGTGGAAGAAACCACTGGCTTGGTCGATACGATAGGTATCCGTGGACATCAGATTGACGATTCGTCCGTTGCCCCAGCCTTCACCGTCACCTGCCACACCTGCTGCAGTCTTTGGTGATTGTTTCTTCTCTTTCTTCTTCAGCATCTTCTTGTACCATTTTACTTGAGCTTCGCTTCCTGGCTTGATGTCGGGTGGTGGTGCTTCGAGAACAGCCTCGCCACCGGCTTTGGCTCTCCCTGAGAGCTTCATCGCCTTGTTGAAGATGAGAGCAATCAATACACCTCTGGCCTCTCCACCAATCATCATACCGCGGTACATGAAGTGGTTAGTAGCCAAACTCTGCAAGAACTGCATCGCGGTGATTCCAATGACCAGGCCAATACCCTCACCAATGTCTGGCGCCGGGGCTCCAGTTCGTTGCGCAAGGTAAGCGCGAGCAGCAAATTTGATGAGATAACGTAAGACGAACGGTGCGACCGCTTGGATGACGGATGCTGACAGCTGACATGTGCCTCCGATGATGAACTCCCACTTGAATGTGTCGAACATGGCACCCAGCAGGGGTCTCTCCTTGCCTTCTGCTCTCCGCCTCTTGAAAGCCTCTTCCAGCCTTGTTGCCAAAAGCTCTGCACTCCTGTCAGGATTGACCTTCCAGATGTCGTTCTTCTCCAACGGCCGCTTGTAGCCCACTCTCATCAAGGGTTGCATCCATTGCCATGAGAGTCGGCTGAAGAAGCTTGCTGTGTATTCGGGGCACACATCGCGCTCCTTTGGGATTGGCGGTGGATTATTCTTCAAGAAATTCAGGCGTTTGTAGAATGGCTTCCTCTTTCGTATCGATCTTGTCGCATTAGATTCACTGTCGCTGGCTTCCGAGTATGCGCTTGTACTGGACTGCAATCGCGCTAGTCTGCCTCTTGCACTGTGTCCATCTCCAGTTTTTTCCACATCCTTCTCCGTTGGTTCGGTACGTATTGGCTCGTACTCCGTCGGATTCTCTGCTGCGGCCTGCGGATCCACGAGTCCAAAGTCCTTCTCTTTCTCGTTCTCATCCAACGATGACGTTGATGGCGACTTCGCCATGGCGGTGGTTCAGCGGCTGGATGCCGAACGCCGAAGAAGGGTCGCGGTGATCGTTGTGTAGGGCCGAAACAAAGTTTGGCAGCCGATGTCGAACGTCACCGTGAAGTCGCAGGGCTGGGGAGGATATTAGATGTTGGTGAAAAGAACGACTAACGCCAGGACTCACGCGGCGACATGTTTGCGAGTGGCAGGCAACGACTAGTCTATATGGCCTCGGAGCAGTCATGAAATCAGTGCATGCACCCGCTCAACATTTAGCGCGTGGTCTTTACCGGAGATAAAATTTCGCCAATGAACGGCTTCCGCGAACCGATGCATGTATAATCCGGGGGCTGTTAGCATCAGGAATGTTCGAGTCCCTCGGTACATAATTCGCCCCGATGACCCGAAAGGCTTGATGTTACTCTTCAGCTGCTCCACGATGTTGCATGTTGGCGACGCGAGTGCGCCATCAGCAACAGGCGTCCATCATCCACGCGCAACAACCGTGTCTCGGCTTTGACAGTTCCTTGACAGCTGCTTAGAAATTAACTTCCGCGGATTCGATGTCGTAAAGAGCGTGTGGACACGCAGCCATGATCGGGCAACAGTGGGGCCATCGCTGCATGAAACGATGGCAAAAAGCTTTGGCCCAGACCCGACATGCCGACCTGTGGATTAGTCGCGCCCGTCACCTGTTTGCACAGACAAAGTTTCCCTTCAGCTGGGCGCACTGCGGCCGTAACTACAGTATTGGTTGAGAAGCGGCATTCGGGCATGTGTAAAGGTTGGCCCGTTGTTGTTGACTACCCATCTTGTCGGATGCCCACCTACCGGATCGACAACTAAGCGACTTCCAGATTGGCAGCATGCATCCGTCATATAGCAATATGATGTGTGTAACCCACAACGCATCTAGATGAGACCTATCTTGCGACTGTCAGAGTGCATGCAGCGCACGATGTCTGACTGCACTGAGCATGCATATCGGATTACGTGCACTTCGGGCTACGCACGTGTGCGTCCATTGGCCAAACATCTCCGACGTAGTCATGAAGCCCGAAGTGTCGCGTCCGATGTGGAAACCTCCTCTTGCTGGAAACGGCCCGTAAGCAACGTCGGGGGTTATTAAGGTCCGAACATGTGTAAGCACACAAATATGTAAGATGTATCATGGCTATCGATCACGTCGCGTATCAATCTTGGGACAGACTAGGGAGGAACATCGCTTTACATCGAGCAAAGCGCCAGCAATACCGCAACAGTCCTTCGTTGCAAGCGCCATGCCTCGCGCATACAATCGAAGTCTCACTGCCACACCCTGGGGAAGGTTATTCTTGTGCCTCACTCGACAACAAGGCGTCGCACGCCGCAATCAGCACTAACCACGAACACGAAGGTCGATACTGTTGAAGAGGGGTTGTACAATCAACAGTCACGATGGTCACATTGGGAGATACGTAGCCAATTCAAAAGCGAAAAAGCGACCGATGAACGGCAAGATTGTGCCATTGTTATTGAGAGGTGCGGTGCGCCGGATGCTTCAGAACCTTCTGAACGCCGGGCCTCGTCCTCATAGCCATACATACGATGGCGGGGCAGCGAAGGATGACCTATTTACAAGTCTACAACAGTCATAGCTTCAAGTCAGTCGTACGGGGTATCGCAAGGAACTGACAATGTTCCTAGTTATCCACTCCTATGTGGACGTTCTTTTCCAGTCCAACCGCGGAAGTGAGCACTTCCTTCTCCTTCTCGCCCTTGAGGTTTGGCAGCTCTTCCATAGCCTCCTTGAGAATCGACAGAGCCGATTCAATCTCCTGCTCCGTGATAACAAGCGGCGGCGCAAGGCGAATAATGTTTTGGTGTGTGGGTTTCGCCTGTCCATCAGAGTCAGCACCATCAACCTCTTTCACATGCATAATCTTGAGGGCTCTTCCTACCAGTAATCCCTTCTCTTTGCAGAGCATGCAGAGATCCCATGCGCTGTGTCCGTTTGTCTTGCTTTCGTCGATGACAATTGCGTTCAAGAGGCCCTTTCCACGAATGATCTTGATCATGGGGTTGTTGATGTTCTTGAGGCCTTCTCGGAACTTGTTGCCTAGTGTCTCAGCGCGCTCAACCATGTTCTCCTCTTCGATGAGCTCAAGAGCCCGGATCGCGACGGCAGAGCCGAGAGGGTTGCCGCCGTACGTTGAACCGTGAGTACCAGGTTCAATAGTGAGCATGACTTCTTTCGAGCCGAGAACGCACGAGACAGGGTACATGCCACCTGAGATGGCCTTGCCCAGCAGGACCAAATCAGGCTTGATGCCACTCCACTCATGGCAGAGCATCTTGCCTGTCCGCGCAATACCCGTTTGAATCTCGTCGCAGATGAGCAGGACGTTGTGCTTATCGCAGAGTGCCCTCACTTCCCGCAGGTAGCTGTCATCTGGCACCACGATACCCGCTTCACCCTGAATGGGCTCGACCAGGAAAGCAGCTAGGTTCTTTCCATGCTTCTCAAAGGCTTCCCGCACATCGTCGACATTGTTGTAACGGAGTGGTTTGCCAGTGGCGGGGCACGCGCTTCCAATACCAGGGAGGTACGGGCCGTAGTTGTCGCGAGATTCGGGGTCAGTGGACATGGTAATGGCGGCAAACTACCAACATGTTAGCTAGTTTGGAAAGATGGGGCAGGCATGCATACTGTCCGTCCGTGGAAATTCTCCTCTACCGAGAAGACCAGCGCCTCGTTCTGCGGGATACCCTTGACTTTGTATCCCCATTTGCGCGCGACCTTAACGGCCGTCTCAACCGCCTCGGCGCCAGTGTTCATGGGAAGGATCATGTCGAAGCCGAACAGCTTGGTGGCATACTCTGCAAAGCGCGGGAACACATCGTTGTAGAAAGCGCGACTGCTCAGAGTCAACCGCGAGGCTTGCTCAGTGAGGGCCTTGACAAGCTCGGGGTGGCAGTGACCCTGGTTGACGGCGCTGTAGGCGGAGAGGAAGTCGAGGTAGTGCTTGCCCTCGGGGTCCCAGACGCTGCAACCACTTGCTCTTGAAAAGACTAGCCTGGGTTAGTCATGCATTCCAGCCGTAACTCCATGGTTGCATACCAATGGGCAGTGGGTGGTAGTTGTGCGCAGCGAAGTCGGCCTCTGTCTTGATGGCATCTTGCGACGACGCCGAGTGGTACTTGGAGGGATCTGGGGTGCCTGTGGGGTGGAAGGAGCGGGCAGTGGGCTTCAGCGTGGTGCTGTTGCCATTTGCCGCCGCCGTGTCGTTCTGAATTGCGCCAGGAGCCATGATGGTGGACGGTGGTGATGCTAACGTGGGGTAGTGGGGAAGGGGATGGTTGCTGCGCTGGGGCGTGAGTTGAGGATGCAAGAGACGAAGGCAGCGGCGGCGGGCTTCTTATTTTGTTCCTTGGTTGAGGGTTGTGCCGTGGATCGCCTCCAACTGTACTTAGGAGACAGTCTTCGTAAGAGCAACTGGTGTTATCGCCTCAAGATGCCTTTAGAGGAACGCGACCAACGAGCGCCCTCGGCTGACTGCGGGTTATGCATATAGCGCCGCTGCCATTGGCTCGTGACCGCGGGACGGGCATGGCGCGCTGGATTGCTGCGAACACGCATGCGAAGGAGTCGCGGGAATGCGCAAACTGCGAGAGGCTGTGTTTGGTGATGAGGTTTGGCGATGATGATAGGCATGGCGCGTGTTGCCGGTAAAAGTTACCTGTTCGTCTTCGTGCCTCGACGTGTTGCGCCATTTTCCCGCCTGTTCGAGCAATCACAGCATGGCAAGCTCCGACACCACCATCACGACATCGGCTGCGATAGCCTTTGTTTCTTTCGTGCTGCAATAGCCTTGACAGTTCGTACGTGTCTGCGCCGACCGCCTAAGGGTTCTGACTTCACTCATGTATGCATCGCGCACTCGTCGCAGGTGCTGGGTGCAGCAGTGGGGACTGACTGCCCAAGGCGAGACTGGCGTCATAGCTAAAGCCTAGATTGCTGTACGGCAACGATAGCCAACACGAAAGTCAGCCTTGCGAATACAAAGATTGCGCCGTATGTCTTCACATATGGTCAGTCGCACACTAGCCCTATTTGCTACATTCCAACCATTACGAAATACGAGTCCATCCAGCTTCGCACGATACACCACCATGTCTACCAAACCACCACTCAACAAGTCTTCCCCAATTTACTGGATCCTCGACTGGGATGGCACCATCACCAAGAAAGATACACTAGATGCCCTCGTCAACATATCCGCCGCCACAAAACCAAACTTCCCTACCCATGACCACTGGAACAGTGTATCGAAGGCATACATGGACGACTACACGGCTACCCTGGCCCAACTCGCTCCTAATGGTACACTACCCAGCACAGTCTCGGCAGAGAAACACCTCCTCGCCCAAATGAGAGCTGTGGAACAACGCAGTCTTGATCGCGTATCTTCTTCCGGTATTTTTGCTGGCTTGACAAGAGATGCGATCGACGCCGGCGCAAAACAAGCTGTACATTCACGTGCTGTAGAGCTACGAACTGGGTTCGAGGGTTTCTTCAGACATATCCAGCACGACCGCAAGAAGGATGGATTCATGCTTCTCAGTGTCAACTGGTCTCGCACATTCATCCAGTCTTGCCTGGGTGCAGCGGATATCGTTGATGTGCCTACCTCTTCCGTCATGGCGAATGAACTGGATAACATTGAGGCTGGAGAGCCATCCACCGGTATAATCATCTCGACTATCCATGATGACGCACGTATCATCATGTCGAGCGGCGATAAGCTGGAGAAGATGAAGCACATCCAATTCAAAGGCCAAACCGTGTACGTGGGTGATAGCTGGACAGACATCGAATGCTTGCTCGCAGCTGACTTGGGGATTTGTATCCGAGATGAACCCATGGGGAGCTCACAAAGGAAACTCGCAGAATCGTTGACGAGGCTGGGGGTCTCATGTCTGCATTTGAGCGACTACAAAGAGGCTGATGAGTGGGGAGTTGTATGGGCGAGAGACTT